ATATATATATATATATATATATTATTAAAGATAAAGTTTTAAAAATAATATGGGGTAAAAAGTGTTGAGTAATTAGATAGTTTTGGTGTGGTGTGTGAGCTGTTACCGGCAAGGAGGTCAGTGGTGTGGGTAAAAAAGTTGATCCATTTAATGAACCATGTCTCACTGCAGAAGGGAGATTCTTCTATTTTGAGGCAACAATTGCATTACTTCTCAGGCCATGGAAAGTGTGTTACCCTCATCGTTCGGATCATACTTTTCCATCAACTGTCTAGACGGGATCAAAAATAAAGTCAAAGACAACCCAAAAACAAATGGAATAATAAAACATTACTTGTAGGATTTTAAAACCAGATAGTGCCACTCTCATTTTCAAATGTAATGTATTAATGTGTGAAACAAGAGCTTTGTGTTGTCTTCCACATTCTTGCTCCATTATAGTACAATCAACAATGTAACATAATCAGGGTCTATCACTATCCTTACTTGAATGCCATTTTTTAATTTTAACATGACATGGGCGTGGAATAATCGTTACTATAAATACTAACTAATCATTGTTGAGGACCTTAAGTGCAAGTTAAGTGTATATTTCTCTTACTATAATTTTTTTTTTCATATTTAAGATTATAATTTGAACCCCGAGTAACAATTAAAAATTCAAACAGTTGGTATTTATCTCAACTAATGTCCACTAATTGAATGTCTTTTGATGTAGGAAGCATTGGATCTTCTTAAGATGAGTAAAGATATTCATATGTAATGCTTTCAGTGTGATGTGTTTAATGTCACTTCATATTCCTCCTTCTTGGCTCTTATGACTTTCTTATTATACCTTTTTTTTCCCAAACAAATTCTTCTTGTAACATGCTGACTTTATTTGTTTTTACTTATTACCAAAAATATCTTATCTCCATTAACTTTTTTTTCATAAGATTAAAATCAATTATTTCTCAAATAATGTATTTTATTTGAGATTTTGATTTAATTGTAACGTGTTTCTTTTGATGTCGAATAAAACTTCAGAAATATTATACGATAACTTATATTAATTACGAGCTAATTGGATGAGTTAATTTGAATAGAATACATTGTTTCAAACATCCTTTTGATTTAGAGAGAAAAATTATTTGATATAATTGGCTCTTATATATTAAACGGGAATAATCATTTTGAATTAAAACTTTTTAAAAATTATTTTCAACAACAGAGTTTTAAAAAAATCAAATTTAATTTTTATTATATCTATTTATGAGTTAAAATTTATATGAAAAAAAATAGTTAACTAATATAATTACACAATATAATTTATTTACCTTAAATAAAAAATATGATCTATATATATATATAAGAATATATATTTATTAAAAAAATTTAAACATAATTTATATATTTAAATATAGTATCTTTTATATAATTTATTATAAAAATTAGTTATATAACAAAAAATTAGCCAATGATATATATATATATATATTAAAACACTATTTATTTTAATTTGGATTAGATTGATTTTTTTATTTTTGAAAAAAGATAACACATATATTAAAATAAACAATGAAATGTTACCTTAAAAAAAAAGAGTATGAAATGCGCAAGTATGGCCGCAAGTTAATATAATATAAAAATTGCATCTAATGTACATTTATATTATAAATTGTAACCTATAATTGATTAATATGAGTAATTAAATATAAAAATATTATTATAAAAGAAATATTTGAAAATAGTGTGGGATAAAATACAGAGCTTTGGTGTGGGGTGTGAGGTGTGAGCTGGCAAAGAGATCTGTGGTGTGGATAGAAAAGTTGATCCATTTAATGACTCCCTGTCTCACTGCCCAAGGAAGATTCTTCTATTTTGAGGCACCAATTGCATTATTTTTCACGCCATGGAAACTGTT